CTAAGTGCAGAATATCATACCTAAAGCATATCCTAACTTGGTGGTAAAATGATTTAAATGCAGGCAACGTTCCCTGGCGCCATCTCTCATAGTCTGAGAACATATCAAAATATCCACTAATACAGTATGTGGTAAAATGATTCAAGTGCACCATTTTACTTCTAAGGCTTTGGCAACTATTTTTGTTTTACGTGTGACGTGATTTCAACGTTTTACTTATTCTTAGTTAAAAATACGCATTTTACAGTATTGGTAGTGTTATAATAATAAACAAAATGAGTACTGATTGGGAACGCAAGGTATCTCTCAGGAGAATTATCAATAAGATGTACAAATTATATCAGGAGTTTTGTATTGACAAACAAAAATTACAGGCATATTTTCAATACGGAATTCAATTTAAGATTCCACAAGCCCTATAGTCGTTGTGACAATTTACAAAATTTAATAAAGTATTCTACAAATGAAGACGTGATTAAAAATGCCAAGCAAGACCTCGAGCTGCACCAAAGAAAGGCCCAGAAAGCAACAGATGCCAAAAAAGCTGATATTGCTGAAAATAAAAATGATTCTAAAATACGGCTGTAATTTGTTTTGATTTGCAACAGGCATTGCCGACGCCATTCTTAACCACCTTTAAAGTATTTTATCTTCGTCAATTATGGACGTATAATTTCTGTGTCTTTGACTTACTGACTGGAAAAAGTTATATGTATGTATGGAACGAAAGTATTGCATCCAAGGGCTCCCAGGAGATATGATCATGTTTAATAAAATTTGTGCAAAGCCTTCCATCTACAGTTACGAAGATTATTGCATACAGTGATTCGTGTGGAGGGCAAAATGAGAATAAAAACATTGCTAAACTATTTAGTTTAATTATAAAAATATCAAAAAAAGGCAAATCCCTCAAGTTTTTGTCCCCGCAGATTGGGAGATTGTAATAAGAGGTACATCGGCCAAATGTATTGTGTACAATATGAACAAAGACGATTTTTACTCTTTTTCGCCGTTCAATGAAATTATGAACGATCCAAAAAAAAAATAGTGACGGTTACCCCTTAAAATGGAAAGAAATTTGCTGGTTTGCTTACTATAAAAGTGAAAGACTAACATTTCGATACAAGAGTACCCTAAACATTGATGTAGAGTTTAGCAGTTGCTTAATGGCAACCTAAAAAGTTGGGCGTCCGTGTTTTAACTTTTCAATACTAAAGCCTTTGAATGGCACTTCAATAAAGATTAAAGTCGCCAAGTACAAAAACTTGCTTAGCTTATTGGAATACATTCCGCCCATTCACCATACATTTTATAAAAACATGAAGCACGATGGGAAAGCATTAACAAAAAAAGGAAAAAGAAACAAACACACACCCTGACATCAAGCCAAAAAGTACCTGATATAGATGAACTCCAACCAAGACCAGCTGATACAGATGAAGACATCCAAATATTAGATTCTGATTATGAATAAGAAATTTTGTTATAGATTTTTAAATAATGTTTGTTATAGTACGGTAGTTGCACTTGAATCATGTTACCACCATAATTTTTGTAACAAGTATAATGATTCAAGTACATTTTTGCAAAAATGACAATAAAAAAGCAAAATTAAGAAAATGTTTTTTGTTTGTAATGTTTTATTGGCATTTAAATAAACTTAATATAGTATCATACTTTGATGAATTTATTCCTGGAATTTTCAAATTCCAGTAAACTTTGAAGCCATTTATCTCAGAACTACTAAAAATGTACTTAAACCCTTTTACTTCCAGGCCCCTCAATTGTTGTTCCCTATATAAGAGAAATATTTCTGACGCATAGCGATAAAAAGAATGACAAAAGTACTGTTATTATTCGTACTAGACGAGATATATATATATACACTAAGTGACATATAAATCCGAACACCCAGTTTAAATGGTTTTATTTTAATGAAAGTTGGTGAGTGTATTTATCTTACTGTAAATAACAAGTGAAAAAATTTTCAGTCTTATCAGTTGGACATTCCGGTTTTTATACTGCTTTTTTTTAATTCACTAACGCTCTAAAAATGAAAATTTCAGCCGCAGTAAAGAATCAACGTTGGCGGATTTTGGTTCTTGACATCCTTTACGATCGGTTACGATGCCTAGAGTACGGAGACCTGTACGATTTCGTCAACTTAGTGAGTTTGATAGGGGCCGTATAGTGGGACTTCGGGAAGCTGGACTTTCTTTTCGGGCAATTGCAGTTAGAGTGCAAAGAAGTGTAGACACTGTGGTTAGGTGTTGTCAGGCATGGCTTCGAGAAGGCCGTACGCAAAGAGCAAGGGGCACTGGACGCCGCCGTAGAACAACAGACAGTGAAGATCGCCGCCTAAGATTATTGGCCTTAAGTGTCCGTTTATCCACTACCAGGTCCATTGCAAATGAATGGTTTGCAGAACACGGAAGACCTATTGGCATGCGAAGTGTTTACCGACGAATGAGAAGTTTTGGCTTGTTTTCATACCGGCCACACTGGGTCCTCCCTTTAACTGCGTGGTGCAGACAACGGTCACTCTGGGATCAGGAATGGAACAGTATAGTCTTTAGTGACGAGTCTCGATTTTGTTTAGGCATGCACGATGGTCGTGCCAGGGTTAGAAGGCGACGTGGTGAAAGGAGGAATCCACAGTTTTTTGTTGAAAGACATGTTCATCACACTGTAGGAGTTATGGTTTGGGGTGCTATAGCTTATGGTTCCAGGTCACCTTTAATCTTCATCAGAGGTAACATGAACGCGCAGCGTTATATCCACGAAGTTCTAGAACCCCATCTTTTACCCTATCTTGACACCCTGGCAGATCCAACTTTCCAACAAGATAATGCCCGACCACATGTTGCAAGAGTCACAATAGACTTCTTTCAACATAATGATGTCACATTGTTACCATGGCCACCAAGATCTCCCGACTTATCCCCAATTGAGCACGTGTGCGATATGATGGGTAGGAGATTGCTCAATTTAACGTCCTCCTCAGACTCTAGAAGCACTTCGAGAGGAGTTGGTGGTTGCCTGGAATGAGATACCACAGGAGGACATTGACCACCTCAGGGTGCATCCACACATTATTAAAGGTCAAAGGGCTTTAAAGCAGTGCAATCATTTTGAAATTTTTATCATTTACTTATTATGCTTCATTAAGTACTTATACAAAATTTTATTAAAATAAAACCATTTAAACTGGGTGTTCGGATTTATATGTCACTTAGTATATTTTTATTCTCTTTGCGTGACATTGGTGTGCCACATACGCTGATGAAGATGAAGATACTCGATGATTTGGCTACGTCGCCTAGGCCTAGCGGCGCGTGACAAATCCATGCCTGTATTGTACGATTTGTATGATTTCGTGTACTTAGTAATTCCGAATATTGCCAGTATTAGTATTGCCTGTCTTGCAGTCATTTTTTTTCGCGTGCGTGTGCCCAACATTATAAGGAAGACTGCGAAGAATCGCCAGATTTCCAAGGTTGGATTAAAAAAGCAATAAAGAGCGCGATTATACGAAATGCATGGTCTGAGATAAAGACATTAATATCATAAGTGGAGGAGATGCACTTATAAAACACGCAACTGGGCAATATCTTAAAAAAGTATGTACAAACCATAGCAAAACAGCCAAAACTGTTGTCATTTGCACTTGCAGGTGCATCAAAGAAATTAGAAAATGATATTAAACAAGGTGAAATTAATTACTCTATTTGAGAAGATTTGAGATTATATAGATTATCCAATATAGCTTACACATTTTTCATTTTATACACTTTTTCTGTTTTTTATTAAGAATGTTTTATTTTTAGTTAGCTAAAGTGAGATATAAACTGTTTATTTTTGGTTTGTCATTCTGTTTTAGAGCATATTTTGAGTTAAATAAAATTGTTTTAAGTTAATGCCTTCATTTAGTCTTCGGTATTCAATCTACCGAAAAACTACCGAAAAATTCCCTAAAATTCTACCCAAATATCGTCGACTCCACCTGGCAACACTGGGTCATAGTCACTGTAATGTCAGTGTATGTCCTTAGTCTGTCAGGTCTGGTAGCCCAGAAACCACAGGAATTGCAGGGGAAAGGGCAGACGGAGAAAGGAAGGAGGTAGGAGCGAGAGAAGAAAGAAAAGTAAATGTTATAACCTTTCCTCTACCCATTTTGAAAACCTTAACTACCCAAAACTATTTTAAACGTATTCTGACAGCTGTGATTAATAAAAACAATTGTCATGGCTTTTATTTTTCACAGCCACCTATGCGTTATAGACTTATTTTGCATTGAAATGAAAATAGGTTGATATGCTGTAATAGCAACATTTGTTATTTTTATGCTACAAATTTGATTAGGGAGTGATAAAGTTGGTGTTTTCTACTATATATTATCAAAATATTCATTGTTAATATTTTAAACCTATAACACCCGGCTACATTTTTATTATTTGTGTTTGATAAAAAAAACTAAGATTTCAATAGTTGGGCCAACTGAAGTGGGAAGGAGCTCGTACTATATATAAATTTTCACTTGTCCTGAACTAAATTTTGGGTATTTGGTTTTTAAAACTATGTGCTTTTTAAGGTCTAAACATGAATTTTGTTCACAGTGCGAGTCGCGGCCTGGAGACTCTATTCCAACGCGTAGGTATAACTTCAGTTATCGACGAACAGAACAAGTCGGCAAAACAAACATCTCTCCAAGGAACGTCTATTACCCTCCCAGTCAGCATTTCCGTAATACCAAATTTTACGGCCTGGATCAGTTTCTGTTAACACCCACAAGTAATTCGAACGGATCATTTATATTGTAAACGTTAAGAAATAGTATCCTTCAGGTATTCGAGTGTAGTTTCAGAATATGCTATAGTATCATAGTCACTTTCGTATTCATTGACACTTTAACAGTTCATTGCTCGATCAAAACGCCTTACAAATCATAACAGTAGTCTAAGAAGGATAACATAACCTCAAATGTTGTTCCATTATTTTAGGAGTTTTAACTGAAAAGCTGGAATCGCAGAACGAGAAATCATTCAAGTCCCAGAAGCAAGGATAGACGACCAAAATCTCTTTTGCAACACTCCCTGATCAACATTCCACCCCCAAAAGCTCAACTTACCCTCTCTCGCTTTCAAGTACACAGTGTTGGCGACGATGTTTTCCAATTCCATGAGTTCCAGCTTGCCGGTTTACGTCGCAACCCTTCGTAGTCGGCTTATGTGGCCCTGCGAGGGCCTTTGCCATCAATCGAGACTGGCCCTGGATGCACCGGCTGCGGAAGGGTCGGCACATGCACTTGATGGCATCACACGTGATGTCCAAGGGACTGCCGGTTTTAGGGCCCCTCGGAGGCTGTAGCGAACGCGATTCGAGGGCTGTTTTTACCGCAATCGGAAAGGGAATACGCACACACACGGCACACTACGATTAGAGCCGACACGACGAAGCACGGCACACGCGATCCTTTCGACTCGTCTCGCTCGTCTGCGCCGAGTCGAGCCGCAGACGGTCGGCGGTCGCGACGTTGCCAGATCTACCGGTGCAAGTTTCCCGGAAAGTGCGGAAATGGTTGTAGTCACAGCTCCGAAGCATATCCGCGTACGGGTATATGAGTGTTATTCTGCGAAATGTGTCGTAACGATTCGGCAACATTCATCATGCCTGCAGGGGCTACGCTTTTGGGGCGGCACGAGGGTTAACCGGTTGGGTTTTTGGGTGTCTCTTCTATGTATCAAATGTGTGAGAATTCTACTAATACCTAACATAATGATTAGGGTTTTATGGAAGTGCCTCGATTTTTGTAAATAGTAATGTTCAAGCATTTCCAACGGTTTAAAAGCGAAGGTCAAAGTCAGGATACGTGCTTGCTGGGTCTAGTGACCCAGTGTAGAAATAATTATTATGTACGTATCGAAGAAAGAGACTAAACCAAAACAGTGATCATCGCGTGATCATTGCGTGATCAGTACACTGATATATTTCAAGAGACAGGGAGCATAACTTATTGGGCAGAATAGGTACAGCCCTTACACAGAACCAATGGCAAACCGGAGGGTGGAGTGGGAGACCGTGCATGCAGCCTGGCCCGGTGGCTGGCTATAAAAAGGATGGCGCAACGAAAAATTTACTGGCAGCTCATTTTTTTATTCGGAAAAACGCTCAGACCCGTCGATTTTGTTTTCGAGAGGGACACAAGTTTGGCAAAAATTACGTTAACACGTGCAGCCCCCTGGGCGGGGGTGACACCAACCGTAAAATCTTAAATGGAAAGGGGGGTCGAGGGATACCTTATTTTATAGGTCTTTCAATTGCCTTTATAATGATGTAAAATACATGAGCTTCAGTTCAGTAGTTTTATTTAATAGAAATATTTAATGAGCGACTGACGTACCTGTTCAAGCGGTGGTAAGGTACATATGCATATGCAATTATTTTTCTAATGTGTCAAGACACTTTTTAAAAGCATGCTTTAAAAATGCGCCTTAGGACACATTTCGAGTATAATTTCTTGATAAACACTTCTACTGAAAACAATAATATACATTTGTTTTTTTTATCATGAAAAAAAAAAATATGTTAATTCCAAGCTTTACGTTTGGACCCTATACATTTTGCATACTTTTTGAACGTGTGTAGAACCACAAAATCATCTAGTCTTAGTACGGCCCTGTAACGTGCTCGGCGTTCTGAAGCGCGATCACGTGGAGTATACGAGAATATGTTTAAGTTTAGTCTCTTTCTTCGATGGATACATAATAGTTTTCTGTAGTTTTATCAGTTTCTGCAAAAACGTTTATTTTATCAGCAGTCTACAGTCATAATACCAATTATAAATGAAACAACAGCGGAAAGGGAAAAAATTTAATAACAACAGTGGATATAGAAATATATATTATGTCTAATAAATACAATAGATACTGTTTTACTTCATAGTTCCATCTACATAATTAATAATATATACAATAACTCCCAGTTTTACGAGATATCACTATGTATAATGCTCATCTAAATAAACAGGAGTTCTACTAGATAATATTGCATCTTTTGAGGATATACAGCTATGATATTGTTAAGGTTCATATTGAACATGCCTGAATAGTATCGCATATAGTCTGGATATAAGTATGTGTAACTTTGCACACAAAAATGAAAAAAGTGGTCAGTACATTTGACTAGACTTACAAAAGGCTAAGTATTTCGACGGGCTGAATCCTTCCGTTTGATCCGTACCTCCATAAAATTTTGAGTAAATTGTAAAAAACTGCTTAAAATGTCTAAAAATCGCAAAAATTTTATTATTTATTTCAAGTTAATTGCAAAAAATTACCAAAAATCGCCAGAAACCGCAAAAATTGCAGTAATTCAACTTGCGTTTTTTTCACGAACTAAATCAATTCTATAGTTTGTGTATTTCTGTACCCTGGTTACAACGATCTCTTCCTCACTGTTGAATTCCTCCAAATCTTGGGGACTACTGTGAACAACAAGGATTCCAAATTCAACAAACCAAATAAACTTAATATTTGTTGCGAATCGAAATTCATAGATCTAGTTCTAGAAACAATTTTAGTTCCATAAGTGAAATTTGTGCGATATTTAGGAATTTATGGCGATTTTTTTTGCTCTACATTTATTTAGTATTAATGCTACAGCTTCGATGTTACTCAGAATATCAAATCATTATTACATATTTTTATAAAAAACCACTACCATGCTGTTTCTTTATGAAATATTCTTTCAATTTTCCTTTGAACATTTTCAAACAGGCACACCTCTTGCTATCGTTACTTAATTTATGAAATTCGTACAATACTTTTTGAAATACTGATTTGCTTGTTATATTGCTACTAGAATTTAGTAGAATAATAGAATAGTAAAATAACTATGGTACCCGTACCTATTGTTCAATAAAATTTTCTAAATGATCTGGTAGTTGATTTTTCAACTTGAATGCGAAAACGGAAACTGAGTAGGTTATGAACAACAGGGAGATTATTGAACTTCTAGACCCAGAAAGTTACACACCCCTGAAGAAAGATCCAACGAAAGCCCGACTACGCCTTACCAACAGGCTCATCGAGCTATCATCACTGCCAGACCCCAAGAAGAGCGTTACGAGGACGGAAGCCGTGCCACCAAGGCTCTACGGCCTGGCCAAGATCCACAAGGCAGACGTTCCGTTGAGACCAATAGTCAGTGCTCCCGGATCGCTGACGTACTACTTAGCGAAACACTTGGCATCCCTGCTGCAACCATACCTGTACGTGGGAAAGAGTACCAGCTACATCAAGGATTCCACCGACTTCGATGTTATCTCCCTTTTCACCAAGGTACCGCTGAGCGAATGCCTGGATCTGGTGAGCAGGATCTTCCCTTCTGACATCTGCAACCTCTTTGAAATCTGTCTCACTGGAAGCTACTTCGTATGGGACGGGGGCTTTTATGAGCCGACGGACCGAGTGGCAATGAGAAATCCACTTAGCCCAGTCATAGCCAACCTTTTTATGGAACACTTTGAGAAGAAGGCGGTTAAGACATCGGAGAACAAACCCGCAATTTGGTTCCGGTACGTGGACGACACCTTCATGATTTGGAAACATGGCACGGACAGGCTGAACGAGTTTCTGCAGCACCTCAACGACCGGCATCCAAGCACACAATTTATCATGGAGATAGAGAGTGAGAAACAACTGGCCTTATTGGACGTACTAGTCAGGAAGCGAGGTAACAAGCTGGGTCACACAGTGTACAGGAAAAAAAAGCACACAGACCCTAAGTCAGAAGTATGGAATCATCAGAACCCTGACAGAACCAGCTCGAAAGATTTGCGAATCGGAGAACCTCCAGACAGAACTTGAACACCTGAAAACTGAGTTCGAAGCAAATGGCTACAGCAAGAGGGACATCGAAAAATCAATGGGCTCGAGATCGACCAAGCCACGTGAAACCGAACAGCGTCCCACCACCTCTCAAGCGTATCTTCCATTTGTGCCAAGAGTCACGGACAGGATTGGCAGAGTCCTGAAGAAATATGACATTAAAACAATCTTCAACCCTACGAAGAAGATCCAACAAACCATCAGATCGGCAAAGGACAATAAGGACCCACTTTCAGCTGCAGGAGTCTACCGCATACCGTGTTCATGCGGCAAACTATAGATTGGAACCACAAAAAGATCATTAGGAGCACAAAGCAAATTGCCGGCTAGGACAAACTGAGAAGTCTGCGGTAGCTGAACATGAACTAAGCAATGGGGACCACAGGACACACGTTGGAAGCTGCGGGTTGCTGTCATCAGTCAACGGTTATCACAATAGACTGGTCAGGGAAGCTATCGAGGTTCACAAACATCCAGATAACTTCAACAGGAAGGAAGAGACCCTCAGACTCAACCCGATCTGGCACACGATCCTCAGAAACACCCGAGCAGTGCCGATCGACATCCCGAAGTCAACCGAAGCGGAACAAGCCACGTCACCCACTCTCCGGTATCAATATAACCGTATCAATATAACCTGAGCAAGAGAAATCGTCAGTCCAGGAAGCCGACGTTATCGACGCAAACATGTGCCAACTGATCCAGAGCTATCTATCACAAAGATGGTTCACGGTGAAGATTGGTACTTGTCACTCGACAAGAAGCCAGCTGGAAGCAGACGTGCCTCAGGGGTCAGCCTTAGCGCCCCTGCTCTACAACATCTACACACATGACGTACCGAAGACACAATGCTGGCCCTATATGCAGACGACACTGCTATAGCCGCCAAGCATCGACGACCCGAGATCGTCCGTAGGAGACTACAGGATGAACTGGACCACATCCAGGACTGGTGCGTGAAGTGGAAAATCCGCATCAACGTCCAGAAGACGCAGGCAATCTTCATCCAACGAAGAAGGATTACAAGACCTCCCGAAGCATCCATCTTCGACGAAGATATCCAGTGGAGCGACAAAGTCAAACATCTGGGGATCATATTTGAAAAGTCCCTCACCTGGAAAGATCACATAGAAGCTATCATCGCAAAGACCAGAGCAGCCATGGCCCAACACAGCCGGATGCCGCTAGCGACCAAGTTACGGCTGATCAAGGCCATCGCCAGACCTCAGCTCGCTTACGCCTCCGCGGTCTGGGGGTACGCTGCTTCCAGCTACCGCAAGCGACTTGCTGCTCTATAGATGAAGCTACTCCGGGTCGCCACCAGTGCACCATCCTACGTAAGACACTCAACCTTGCGTAGAGACCTGCATTGGGACACCATTCACGGGTACATGAGGAAAAAAGCAGAGAAGACCTTCCAGAAAGCTCAGGACCACCCGAACGAGCAGCTACGACTCCTCATGGACTACGATCCGGACGAGAGGCCTCGCAACCGCAGACCCAGGTACCCTAGACCAAGGTCCCAGTTGGCACCCGCTAACTGGAACCTTGACTAGGAGACTAGGAGAACCCGCGGTTGCCCCCCCCCCCCACGGCG